GTTTAAGGCTTGGGACCACCCCACTCCCTACCCCCCTCCCCACCCCCGTCTCCGCCTCACCTTACGGGGGGAGGGTGCGGCTACACGTAGGCTAAAACAAAGATTAAATAATTATGTATGTTCTTACCATCTTTGACTGTGCAGTTTGGCTATTACGCACAATATAAACGCCATATTTGTTCTCAAGAAGGCTACGGCAAGAACAAGAAAAAAAGAAGGAAAGCTACTTGTAAGTGAATTCAGATCACCATCGCCAGCAGTTCTCAAACATTTGAACCTCAACATGAAAAAAAAGAGAAGCGAATTTTACTCACGAATTGACCTCCGTCTTGTCTAAGTCAAGTAGCAATGCTGAAGACGGAAGGACTCCCTTCAAATGAGGAGAGAAAATAGGCAACAGAAAAGTCGTAAGGAAAATAAAGCTTTATCCTTAAAACGATTCATGAAGTGGGAATCTATTGCATACCCTCTGGGAGAGGTTTTTCGCTTCAGTGAGGTTTCACATCCTCAAAGGGTGTGGTTAATAAAAGGAATACCTTCCCTATACAAGTTCGTTATTCAGGTTGTTCTTCGAAGTTCATCATGAGCTAAACCTTTAGCCAAATATGTGGACTGTTTATTAGATACAGTAGTATTTATTAGATATTAGTAGTAATGCGAGAATTCCACTCTTCAACAATGGTGGAAAAGAGACCTAGTGAGACGACTACCGTCAAACTATAAGAAACTCAGTTCTAATGCGTTGTTTGTGATGTAAATCAAGTCTAACTTCAAAATGATATAAACCTTTTGCACGTTGTGCCGTTAAAAAAGTAGATTTTGATTCATGGCATTAGGGAGCATTCTAGGTTCGCGGCGCAAAACATAGCATTGAATTAAACACAAGCTAAATCGTGCTCGTTTCTCATCTTTACAAGTATGCGCTTTCTTTAACTTTTTCAATCATACAGCTCGTTCAGAGTGCCTAAGGAAAAACAAACCTATCTTATACAATTCTATTGTACAGTTTATAAGATCGGTATTAGAATACTGTACACCTACTTTCCACCATAGCCTTCCTGAGTACCTTAATGAAGACCTCGAGCGTGTCCAGAAAAGAGCCATGTCAATAATCGCGCCTTCTCAATCGTATAAACAATCCCTAGATAGCTATGGACTCTGTACCCTACGCCAAAGACGCGATGATGACTGCTCTAAGCTATTTGGTGGCATCACCAAATCGAACGATCTCAGTCTTGCACATCTACTCCCCCCACGTCAACAAGGCTCATATAGCTTGAGAAGCAAAAAAACTTTCAATCCACCACAATTTCACACTAACCGTTTCAAAAACTCATTCATCCCGGTCAGGTACCAACGAGTAAATAGCAATGTTTCGTAGCCAGTAATTTGTACGGAGCACTGTAGTTATATAGAGACCCTGTAAATAGCCCTAGTTTTAATTGTACTATGTTTATATTGTATATAACTATTCAATTCAGCCTTTGGCTGTGAGTTATTCCTTTTAAATTATCAATCTATCTAGAAAACAAAATAACATTTTGGAAACTCACCTCCTTGTGTTTGACTTTAAAGCTCTGTCCATCAGGATCACCTCTATTACAGACAAAGACACTATCAATGCACATATCATCGATGAGGAAGTTTACCCTGGATATCTCTTTTTGCATTTGCTTACCTTCCGAGCTTTATTGGTTTGCGAAGAGCTGCTGGGCCAGCTACAGGAGGTGGTGGTAAAGTGGACGCAGAGCCTGAAAAGCATAATTTTTTTAAGAATTAGTGAAAACTCGCTCTTTCCTGAACTATTTGTTACTACAAAGGTTTTAAAGGGCCTGGGTCAAGACTTTTTAGGTATATTTTGACGCTGCGTACGCAGCAACGGTAACAAAATTAACATACACTTAATTTTACTTAGGTGCATAATTCCAAAAAAAGACTGTATTCTCCCTTATGGCCCTAACACACTGAGTAACATCTAGAACAACACTGAAAAGTACTTTCACCAAAAGGATCAAACAAAAACACGCGCGGAAACTGAGTAAAAAAATAGCCTTCCTCCAAGTCATAGAAGGTTATCAAATTTAGATTCATGAGAAAAATATGCCAAAAAAAAGGGGATGGCAAGAGATGGGCGATGCAAATGACTGGCTTGGAAAGTGTAAGCTTTTCCACATGAAAAAAGGTGAAGCAGCCTCTTTTACCTCCGATCTCCAAAAAACTAATGCTCAGCCGTAATTGCATTCAAAATGCTTGAGTTAATGAGACTGCTTTCGAATTTCCAGTTCGCCTTTTTCTTTCAACGTAATAAAGAACATGTTACCTCTCATATCAGTAGGATTTACTTTGGCTTTTTGAAGTTGATTAATTACGTTCTCATATCCCTGAGGTGTGAGACCAGATGAATCTGATGAACGTCCTGGAAATCTCCCCATTGTTACTGGGCTTGGTTGTGTAGCCCTCGCAGGTGGGCGAGACAGTATTGCGGGCTTCAGATTAGGAGGTGGTTTTCTTGCAGGTTCTGGTTTCTCGTGTCCTGGAGGGGGAGGCAATGGCTTTTGCGATATATCAGGAAGGGAAGGCAATGGCTTTTGCCGTAGATCAGTAGAGGTAAATGAACAAGAATGACGTCGTCTAGTATCCGGAAGAGGTGCAGGCGGTCTTTCTCTTAGTTGGAATGTTTGGACACGACTCGGTGGTTTGGATGGTACGTCATCGTCGATAGAACAGTATCCGTCAGCGTCGTCTGCCCTGTAAAGCAGTATACATTTCAACAATATCACAGCTTTGCAAACTCTTATCGTCTCCCTTAGTTCTCTTACAGCTGATTTATCAAGGAACATTTGAGGCAGCGCGATGCAGAATATAAAGAAAAAATATATCATGTTTGAATAGTTTATTTTGAAATAGGTCTTTTTAGATCTCTAGCACTCGATAGTGCATCATTCATTTATCGTCAATTCCTGATAACTTAACCTACACAACTGAAGCATTTTACTCTTTTACTTCAATGTCGCCTTCGTCACCTACCACGATGAATCACCACAATATTTTTCCATGTCTCTTGCTATAGCGTCTTGCCATTTCTGTCAAAAATCAAACAGTTTGAACTTTCATTCATAAGAAGGAAACAGTTATTTCCAAAGCTAATTTAAATTACATCAGCAAATTTATTCCACTAGGCATACAGGCAGTGTTACGGAGGGCTAATTAAGTTTGATGTCTAAATGAGCTATCGTAGTTTTAATAAATTCGATATGAAATTTTAAATTTGAACATATGAAAAGTAATCTGGAGTCTGAAACGGGCCGGAATGTGTGGGTTTGGCTTTTGATTGCATCGCATTGTATTCCTCAAATTTGTGGTTTCAAGCTACTTTTTTAATATTCTACATCTGTAAAAATTCTCGCTTGCTTGACTTTTCCAGGTCTCCATTGAGTTGCGGCAACGTCTCATTACTAAGTTGTTTTGTTTCTTTTTAAGTTTATCGCAATTCCAGCCGCTCAATGGTATTTTTTTGGCATAAAATTACATCTCGCTAGAAACATGTTTGAGTGTTAAGGAGTTGATGGCAACATATTAAATACTTGCCTTTAAATCAAAATCTGTGTCTACAGCAAACACTAACGTCTTGACGTCACATGACTTAGTATGAATCAGTTTGAAAACCCACGGGTACTTAGATTTCTCAGGAGCATTACACACTCTGAAAGAATATAAAGACAGTTGACTTTTTCCCAACCTCAAGCAGTGGAAATACCCAACTTTACTCTTAACCCCTACGTCATTAAATTCTCAAATAGGTACAGTGGAACCTCTATTAAACGAAGTGCTGAGGAACTGAGAAAATTGGTTCGTTATATTGAAGGTTCGTTATATCGAAAAGCTCGATTTAACGAATTTGCGGAAAAACAACCAAAATGTTTTGTTATATCGAGGGATGGTTAATAGTTGTTGTTTTGTTTTGTCTTGTTTTTGTTTGTTTTTTGTTGTTGTTTTTGTTGTTGTTTTTTTTTTTTGGTGTGACGACGTGCTACCCAGCATTTTAGGATGGAAACGATTACCGTAAATATATAACATTTACGCTTCAATGTCTGTATGAAGCTATAGTACACTGTACAGGTCTGTACATAAGTACAGCACCTTGTTTCTAAAGCACGGAGGACAAATCTCCGAGGAGAAAGACAAAGAGGATAAAGCGGATCTCAAGATGTGTCTATGGTGTTAGTGTCTGTAGATGTGTCTATGGTGTTAGTGTCGGCATTCTTAAGGAGCTGTTAACTTTGAAGTTGTTCTATTGGTACAGAATTGAAGGATTTTGATCCTTGTTGATCTGTTTCGTATTTGTCTTTTGTCACGTGATAACATTTGTTCGTTATATCGGGGTATATTATACGTTTGGGCTTCTAGATTGCGTTCGTTATATCGAGGTTCTGTCCCATACATTTTACTGTAATTTTGGCTGGGCTAAAGAGTACCGTTAATTATACCGAGAACTTGGTTATATAGAGGTTTGTTACATCGAGGTTCTAGTGTACCTGAAGTTGCTGAGAGGGACTGCCTCACAAAAGTTTTGGTCATCGGATTGTTTGAATAAGTACAGACATCCTTTACTGAGGATCATATAACGCCAGGGCCCTAAAACGTAAAACAGTCTTTGCATGATTTCTTCGTTGTAGTAGTAGCTATATTAACTGATAGATTCTAAGTAACCTTGCAGCAAATGTAACTACCGTATAACTGGAAATTTTTTAAATTGTTCCAGCCTGACATTTTTACTTGAATGGTAGTAGTAATTTTGTGGGTTTACTCTCTTTTTTACATTATTTCACCTTGTTTACTGTCACAGGTTTGCATTAGCCTAGGTAATTCGAATCAAACTTGCATCTTTCTTCATTTATTTAAAGATGCTGCTGGGCTGACCTTCGTTTCGTTTCTTGTAAATTTTCATTTGTTCTAGCCTGATATAATTACTTGAATTGTAGTAGTATTTTTGTAGGTTTACTCTCTTTTATCTTATTTTATTTTGCTCACTGTCATGCGTCTTATACATGAGCCCCTGGCTTGGATACACAGGACTACCTAATCCCATGTACTAACTTAATAAATAAACTAATTGATTCATTGACTACGTCTGTTCAGTAATTGATCACCGATGGCGTCAAAATGTGGTAAGACGAAAAAAGTGGCACATTAGGCGCAGCCGAGTGTGTCACTAATTTTCTTGACACATCTTGACGTCTTCTGTGATCTATTAGCAAAGAAACCCGCGGAAATATGAAATCTATCTGATTTGTATAATAAAGAAGCAAAAATTGTCAATAATTTCATCCATGCGTCTGTCCTCCATTAGTTCGTTAGTGGGAACCAATCAAAACACGTGCATAATTCAGCTCAATTATACAATGAAGAACATGATCCGATGGAAAACTTTTTTTCTTCAAGCATTTCTTCGCTGTATTTTATGCCATTATTCATAAGGATGGTAGAGTTTCTTATGATGTTTCTATTCTAGTTTTTGGACTTTCTCAGCTTATGCTTTCATTTTATTATTATTAGTTTATTTGTCTGTTTTTTAGTTCGTTTGTTTTGCATTTTTTGCTATACTTTTTAGAATGTTCGTGACTTCCAGTACTTACAGTCAAGTGCTTTCACCATCGATCGTATTCCTGCAGTCTCCTCCTTTCTAACCCATCCGAACAACCCGGGGGTATTTTTCAGCAACTCTTGCGCTGAAATGTTAGCGAATGGTTCGACAACTGGCGCGGAACGAGCCATGCTTGCTACCAATTGATCAGGGCCTTTGCCTATGATAAACACAGTTATTTCATATCAGCTATATCAGCTCAAACAGATAAATGTTGTAGTATGCAGTAAGCCCGTCAGATATGAACTTAGTCCATGGTCCAGCTCACCAATGAGTTACCTGCAGCTCAGTAGGTAGAGTATTGAACCAGGACATCTCATCGAGATTTGCATTAGCTTAGGTAATCCGAATAAAATTTGCATCTTTCTTCGTTTAATTAAAGAGGCTGAACGGCTGATCTTCGTTTCGTTCACTTCATTTCCACAAGCGAGGATTTCTTTTTATGAAATTGCTCATTTCATTTTTCTGATACATTCGGTGCAAAGGCAAAGATGCCTTAACAATGACAATAACGAATTACAAATTAAGTTTCGTTTACAGAAGAGCCCGTTTGAAATTCTTCACGAGGATTTTTACGTGCATCAGAGATCCTCTGAGACTGATCTTTCAAAAGGTCATCGATTTATCTTCTCTCTTCTCAACGAGGCATTAAAGATCTGCCAAGAATCTTGCTAAGACAGTAACAAACGATATTGACCTTTGTTTTGAATCATGATAGAATTCAATTAGTCACCTGCAGCTGTAGAAACACTTATATTTCGAGTTACGTTTCAGGAAAGCATGTGCAATCTGACGGAGAGGTCTTAGAGATTTCAGTCAAGAAAGATTATCATTCACAATATTGTCTAAACTTTTTCAGGATCATTATCGCGAAGATCTTGACAAGAAAAATATAAATGAAGATCCCGATAAGATCCTCTAAGAGATTTTTGAGAGATGCTGAAGATCTTGAACTGAAGAATTTTGGAAGTAAGTTGAAAACATTCTAGAGAATCCAAGCAAGTTATTGTCAGAACGTTTGGACACTAGTTATTGATCCATCCACACTTCAGTGGTCTCGGCAAAGAAAGGCAATCATATTACATGTATAATATATAGATTTAGCCCGCACGTCTCAAGGGCACAACGCCTTGTCCCGGCCAGGACTAGAACCCGGGTCGTCCGACTCAGAGACCAGTGCACTGACCACTGGACTACTGGACAAAGCCGTGGCGTTGGCGTGCCCGCGGTACAGTTGAACACGCATGTTAAAAGCACCTTGTACGGTCGTACGGTCGAACGGTCGAACGGTCGTACATCCAAATGTTTTCGGCTCGATGGGTTACTACTGTTTTGTATAATTATGGGGCTAAGCTCTGCGAGCTCCGCTATCATGAATACATTATTTTTGAAGGCACGATGTAACAAATGCTATATTCTTGTAGATTAGAGGTCTTCGAGGATTCTTCAGGATCTTGAAAGCATTTTCTACGCTTGATAGTCATGAAAAGCACTAATTGCAAGAGTTTGTTATCCCTGTCAGCGAGCTGCCTTGGCGTTGGGAAAGAGTTTGTCAGCGTGTTTAGCTGAAAGTCGCAGCAGCTACGAGCGGGAAATAGCGATAGCGGAACTGTAAGAAATTACGTCTGTAAGCAACCCTATTTCCGGTGTCGGTTCGGCTAACGGTATAGTTATTTATCTATCATTTATTTACTTTTTAAAAATAAGCTGACCAGCCTCCTCTCTCTTTTCTATAAACCTCTGACGAAGACGTTCTTTCGGTGTCGTGGCTATGAAACTTTTAAAGTCACGCTAGGGCTGTTCGTATTTTCTAGAGTTTCGAATGGCGTGACTTGCTATCTACACAGAAATTTGTCACGCCGATAATTGGCATTAAAGGCATTTCAATTCTTAACACGCGTACTATTGGGGGAAAGCAAAATAAATCAGAAATAGATCAAGTGTAGCGATGAACACGTCCTGGTGCTGTAATAAAAAAAACTATCTTTCTTTTCACACCAAAGCCGTCAACGAAATGAATCGAAAGTAATGAAGTTATAAGTTATGCACCGTTGGTTCAAAATAAAGAGAGCTTTTTCAACAGTGACGTCACTCAATCTGTCACGCGAACTTTGTGCGTGAATAAATTTGCAATTCTAAGAAACATCTCTATAAACTCTAGAAACTTAACACGCGATACACGGCAGGCTTTTAAAGAAATCCTTTCTTCCCTTCATACTGTACATCTCTGCAAGGTATTTGTTTGAAAAGCGTCTACAAATCTATCCAACGACTTTAACCGCCATCGCTAAAGGAAGAAACTCAGTGAAAAAGTGCGAACGAATCCAAAATGGAGTCGATTAATTATTTAACCAGGAAGCTATATCGATTTAAACGATTAACAGCCGATAGCACGCACTCTCTTTAGTAAAAACTGAACACCATTTCCCTGTGTACACATAGTGCTACATGCAATTCAATATGGCGCTCTCAGAAAGTTTTTGCTTCATCAAACGCACGCCAATCGTTTCGTAATCAGCGGAAGCGCTGCCGTGATAAATTAGCTTATGGTGTATGTCTTCAGCAAAGTCATGAAACGTTATCTCAAGGAAGAAGAGAAAGCGTCCAAAATCTTAAGATATCCAAATATCAAACACGTGTAAATGATGTAGGAGGAAATTATCACAATAACGTTTTCTCAAGCTTATATACTCTTATAATTTGCTTATGATTCAAAAGTCGAGCGCCAACATTCGCCTGAAGATTTAGTCTGATGTTATTAACGAAAGCAGTATTGATCGTCGGGAAGAATGCGAGACGTGCTTACCTGTCTTCAGCTCAAGTTAATTTCCTTCCATATTGGCTTCACAGGACGCAACTTACACAACATATATCCAAGATGTGAAAACACCACGATATCACTTCGCTCAGTCGTTCCTTCAAACAATATTTGCTTATGGCATAAATTAAGATCACTCGTCAAAGAGGTCAACTACAGATGTTAATGATACACCCGATTGACTGGAGCTGAAACGGGTGCCTGTTGGCCATCAAATTAAGATAATGAGATTGAAAGATGTACGTCACAAAAAAAAATCACACTCCGAAATCTGCTTGCGTGGTGTCTTTGGGAAACTTTGGACATGGGTAGCTTTTAACTCAAAAGATAACGGTAAGTGACAAGTACGTTCTCTATATAGCAACATTCGAAACGTGTATAATTAGCACCTCTAGCATCAACGGCCTTAAGTACTCATTATTCCGCGCAGCCCTTTTCATTTCTATGGTGTATTTTTCTTTATTTATTATTTTTCCCCTCTCTGCGTTTTTACATTTGGACTGTTAATGTTTTCCCTTATACCCCAGGTCATAAAAGCAGTCGCCAAAATATTGCCAAACATTCAAACCCTATTTTTAGAAAATGTGACGTGATGACGTAATGTTTTTCCTCTGTAGAACTTGTCAGTTGTTTTGGTCTCCAGATATCCAAAGGGAAACTTGAGATGTTATCGTCATTTTGAGAAATCCTCCATCCATTCTCATACTTTAAGTAAACGCACTGCTTCATATAACAGAGAGCTGACTGAAGAGGCAGTCAAGCGAGAATTGACTCGGCTGCTTTGGTTTTCACGGGGGCAAAACAACTTCTCTCTGCAAATATATTGATATGAAGCCGGGGAATAGAAATTTTCTTTTCAAATAAATCTGCTCTACTAACTTAAAAGAAGTTCAATAACTGTTATGATTTCCGCTCAATCTTGTGGTGAATATGATAAATCCGTTCTTTATTAAGTTTTTATCAAGTAATGAAAGCATTCCATGCAGCTGAATGCCCAAACATTTAAAAACAAAATCAAAGATTCGTTATGCACGTGATTATAGCGTGATATAAGAAGACTTCAACCACGAAGCTTGCCAATTTCTAGTTGGCAAACTCTTGGAGGGTTATACCTGATCACTTATTAAGTTAGCGGCAGTAAACCTATCCCCAAACTTAAAGCTCGGAAATTCACATTTTGGTCTTGGGAATTCTGTGTTAATTAGCTAGAGACTGGTAATGAAATAAGTCGAGCAACATGGCGAACGTGTGACTTAGGCACAAGTGCTGATTCAGTGTACCAACTGGCTTACCACAGCTATTTTCCATTGCATGGATTCAACAACAAGATCCACATAGGAAAGCGAAACGTTAATAGATCGCAGAGAAGAATTAAAAGCTACAAATTCGCGCTCAATGGCCGCTCAAATGATTGCAGGTGCACAACAAATAACTCACGGTAGGCTAAAGATCATTTAAATGTGTTCATTTTACGAGTAGTGCTTAGTTTACTTAACTTATCAACGTCAAATTGGAATGATAATTATGTAACGTAGATAAACCCCGCTGCGAGACTCATAATGTTGACATGTTGACAGAGCGTGACTTCAATACGAGTTTTTTTTAACCGGACTATGATCATAAAAATACGAAACATTAAAAAATTCATGTAAACGACATTTTGCTTTTATTCTTAATGATACAAATTACGTTTCTGCAAATAGAATATTCCTTGTAGTAACCAAAGTTTATCATCAGTGCACCATTGCTGCCTGTGGGCCAACGCACGATAAACAGAATACCTTCGTGTCACGCAATCAAATCTCCTACCCAAAGACGGGGTTTTTAGAAGGAAAACAAGGTCAAGAAATGGACTGGAACGTTTCGTGACAGTGTAAGATTGGGTTCCGAGGCGTTCTGCAACTGGTCTTGTAGACATATTTCATTGAGAGAGGCTTTGAATGGTTTAACCCTCTTGTCCATGCATGAACTTAATCATGCATGCTCTATATTCTTTGCTTCGCTTTGTGATATGTTCATAAATATCCATTGTGTTCGCGGCTACTAGAAGTGTCAAAGTTGTTTATGGAAAGTTCAAATAGGGTATTAACATACATGTACTTTGCGCATCTCTGTCGCTTACGCGTTTTTAAGGCGCAAAAACTTACTTGGACCACTTCTCACGAGTGCACCAGTTTAGGGTAAAATTGCGTCTAAAAACATGGGTTTCTCAGTATAACTATCTTACTACGCCAACCAATAAATATAATTAAGATTTCTGGGTTGGCTTTTACCACTATACTTCTTTCAGCTCTCTTTAGAATCATGAACAAGACAGTAAAAAAATTAAAACGGGATTAGGGACGCACTCATGGCGAGACTCACTATTGTCGATCATTTCACTATTGTAGCGCTCACACGCCACTTAGACTGGTGCACATCGGCGCTCAATCTCGAGCAATGAGTCTTTCTAGCTTCAGTGGGTGGTCGCCGGCGTGGGACAAAGCGCAGGCAGATCACGTGCAGTATGGAAAGCATCGATACTTTTTGCTAATGTCGATATTTCCGTGCAGACCTTGGTATCGCCAGTATCGCATATTTGGTATCGGTATCGGCCCAACTTTAATTAACACTAAGCTCATG